AGGTCTTTTTACTTAAGTTATTGTTTGTCAAAAGTCATTGTCGTTGCATTTCAGTTGCATTTAGGACATTTCATGCATGTGGTGGAAATGTTTTGCCTCAGCTAGTTATTCTTTATAAAATTAGTGCTGCAGATGAGAAGGGTTGTGTGCTGGTTGTGATGTTGCAGGTGATAGGAAATGACAGAGGAGGAAATATTTTTCGTGACAAATTTTGTGCAAGGGAAAATGAACTAAAGATAATGACCATGAGGAAGTTTTTGTCGCGACAAGTTTTATCTTACAAGTCTGACGCAATACGAGATAAAATTACTGACGTCGCGTAGCCAACTATCCAATACACCTCACGTGAAACTCTGCCCCTACCAAGGTTTTGAGACCACTGTCAGCTACCATAGTATTCACGAAATGGGCATGAATTCAAGGGTAGATGGGGAAATTTCAAGGGAACTAAAACCTAGAAATTCCCCACTATAAATAGCACATTATGCCTACCATTTAGAGGATCCCACTCTCACCTACCCTAAAAAGTCTTAGAAAATATTATTGCAGTAACTTCCCCACCATTCCCCTCTCGTGCTTCATTTGTGTCCTCCATATCTTGGCTTAACTAAAGTAGCGGCTAGGCCCTCGAGAGAGGCTAGCGTACTGAAGTAGTCATGGTGATGGTCTAATGTCACAACAACATCTCTATTTTTGGGAGTTTTCTTCTCCTTGTTCTTCATTTCTTATCTTTTAAGGGCTTATACTTAATGAATATTATGGGTTGATTTTAGCCGCCCCATGAATTATTTTATTTGGTGTTGTAGATGTTTGGATGATACATTATTTTATGTTTAGTGGATGATTAAGTATATTTATGTTTATTGTTTTCTTGATCACTTTTTTAATCTTATGTCTTAACACTGTAAAAGCTTTTGAGAGATTGATTGGTTCCTTGGTATAATATTCCTTGTCTTCATAAGAGCTGTTGAGAGATAGTTGTTTTTATAGAAGATGACACCTAATATTAAGAGTTATCGAGAGATTGCCTTAGAGATAAGGAGAGGGTTTCAATCGACTAAAAGGGATAATACTTAATCGATAGTCTAGGGTTATAATTTACGCTGAGAGGTATTGTCGTGGCAATTCTATTATAAGGTTCCTTATTAAAGATAGCCTAGGAACACTTCTAGTAAATCCTGTCGGGCAGTACAGACATAGTGTATTTATATCATCCTAGGCATAGAATAATTTCTCGTCGTAGAAAATCCAACCCTAATGCTCCGTTAAAAGTCTGATTGTGTTAGGTTATTAGTCTATATTCAGAACTCAAACATTCTTAGCCTTAACAACTTTTATTTACTTACTCTTGCAATTAATTTTTGCCTTTGCAAATTTTATTTGTTTACTCTTGTATATTTTTCTTGCCACAACAAAAATTATATGCTCATTTCACTACACATAATTCTTGCCTAAGCAAACGTTTTTCCATCTGTTCATACCATCTTCCATAGAACATTTCTTCATTTGTTTATATCATTAGATTTAGGCATTAGAGATTAGTTAGTGACACCTTTTCCTAGTTGTAGCAATCTTTAAAGAATTCCCTCAATCTATGTGAAGATAATACTCACTCACTACTATATTACTTGCATCAATTATGTATACTTGCATAGACTTGTGTGCCACAACACACACATTTACACGTGATCAAGTTTTCGACGTCATTACGAGGGATTTACAACTGCAGGTATTTTTAAAGTTTTTCCATAGCAAGTTTTTCTTGCTAGTTTCTTGTTTTAGTTTTACTTGTTTGTTTTCTTTATTTCTTTTGTAGGTTTTTGTCTTTGCATGACCAGAAGAACTGTCAGATAACCACTATTACCCATTGAACCTAAAATCAAACATTTTTCAGACAAATGTGACGAGTTTAGCTTACCCGAAGAAACATGTATTGATTACCATATCAGGCTAGTGACCCAATAGGTAATCAGGAATATACAAATGCCACGGAAAATAATCTTCCCAGAAATATTGCATGACCATGAGTTATATGAGATCACTTAAACCCTATTCTTGATGATCTCAATCCTGGAATCTTGGCACCGGAAATTCAGACAGCCCATGTTGAGCTCAAACCAGTAATGTTCAACATGCTAAATTCCATCGGTAAATTTGGTGGTTTGCCTAATGAAGATGCTAGGCAACATGTCCATGCTTTCCTTAAAGTGTGAGTCTCATTTAGGAAACAATTAGTGCATGATGATGTACTGAAGCTAAAATTATTACCCTACTCTTTGCGTGACCAAGCAAGAACTTGGCTCAGTGGCCAGCTCGATAGAGTCTTTGGCTAACTTATACAAAAATAATTGCTAAGGTATAATCCACCCAACATGCACATATAAATTGCAATGACATCGTAATTTTTTTCCAGGGAAATGAAGAATCTATGTATGAGTGTTGGGACCGATATAAAATTTTACTTCACAAATGCACCAACCACAGATTCCACGATTGGATGCAAGTCATGATGTTCTATAATAGAGTCAATGCACCCACTTACATGGTATTGGAAGTCTTGGAAAATGGTACATTGCTTGATATGTCACCCGAGGAATGTTTTAATATCCTTGATAGGATAGCAAAAAACGATTATCAATTTCTGATTAGAAGGCTTAGAACTAGAAGAAAGGTATCTATGTCATTTGAACTTACCGCCAAGGATTTTGTGTCTGGCCAACTTTTTGCCATAAAAAAATTGTTTAAAAACCTGCAACTTTCCAATGAGGTAAAGGAAGTCAAAGAAACCAACTCGACATGTATTTTTTACCGAGGTAACCACCATGAGAGTGAATTCTTAGAAAATCAAGAGTCTATCCATTTCATGGGCAATTTCAATAGAAGCAACAATAACCCCTACTCTAACACTTACAATTCCATATGGCGTTAGCATTCTAACTTTTCTTGGGTTAATCAAGTGGCTCACAATAACCATGCTGGCAACTTAAATAGGCCACAACAAAATAATTATGAACCTTCGAATTTTCAGCATCAACAGATGTCGTGGTAAAATATTTACAAAGGTTTAGCATCTTCCTCAAATAATAATTCCCTTGAAGCTTATCTACAAGAATTTATGGCTTCGACAAAATATTTCATGGCTTTAACAAAGGCCTTAATGCATGAAGATTCATCAAAAATTAAAAGTCCAGGCACACTTTTACAAAGTCAAGCAACATTATTGCAAAGCCATATCTAACCTTTAAGAGCATTGGAGAATTAAGTGGGCCAAATTGACACATCATTACATGTTTTCCCACAAGGATGCCTCCCTAGTGATACTGAGGTCACTAAGCCTCACAGAAATGAGCAATGCAGTGCACTTACATTGAGGAGTGGTACACAGATGAATGAAGAAGACTAGTTTAGGGGTAAGAAACAAGAAATTTCTTGACATAATGTTATAAAATAAGAATAAGAAAGTCATGACGAACTTGTTGAACAAGAATAATTGCCTATGGAGAAGGACAATACGAGGGTTCAACCAATCATCCTATTGATAGAGGAAAATTTAATGCCACAAAAAGTTTCACCTCTACCCGAAGCAGCTAATGTCAGACCTCCTCTACCCTTTCTTTAATGGTTGAAAAAACACAGTCATGAGATGCAATTCAAAAAGCTCATTGATGTCCTTGATAACTTGTATATCAACGTCCCACTGCTCAAGGACATTAATCTAATGCCTACCTATGCCAAATTCTTAAAAGAAATAGTCACGAAAAAGAGAAAGGTGGAAAGACAGGAAAATATTGACATAATGAAAGAATATTGTTCTGCACTGAGTAAAATTCAACCAAAGCGAAAAGATTCTGGCAGCTTTGTTATACCTTGTTCCATCAGTGAAAACTATGTTGGAAAAGCCCAATGTGACTTGGGATCAAGTTCGAATCTGATGCCCAAGTCCATATTTTTGAAGCTTGGAATGGGTAATGCTCGACCAACCACTGTGACCTTGAAACTAGTTGACCAATCACACGTTCGTCCAGAGGGCAGGATTGAAGATGTCATCATGAAAGTGGACAAGTTTTTCTTTCCATCAAACTTCTTCATTTTAGATTGTGAGACAGACGAAAAATGCAACTATTATTTTGTGGCATCCCTGCTTAGCCACTGGGTGCATCTTAATAGATTACGAGAAGGGAGAGTTCACGATGAGGGTGGCCGATCAGAGTGTCAGTATCAATGTTATTAACACCCTGAAATATATTGACGAATCTGAAGAATGTCAATGCATTGAAGACATGGATTCAATGCAGAAAGCTAAAGTAGACATTTTTTGCCATGGTAAATTTTTACATCTGTTAGAGTATGACAATTTCTACCAAGGTAATATTTTTGAGCTTAAGGAGTATGAAAACTTTGGCCACGGTGATAATATACAGCCTGAGAAGCCTGACAATTTTTCAAAGATAAAATTTTTCAGAATGAGGAAAATATTTCTGACTGACGCAGAAGACATACTTATTAAAGATTAAAAAAGTGCAGAGATTGAGAAATATTCATTAGATATGGAACAGTCTAGCTTGCTTCAAGCTAGACCAGGTATGAGATTCAAACCCCTTGACTTTGATGAATTCATACCTCAAAAACCTTCACTGCATCATGCACCTACCTTGGAACATAAACCCTTGTTATTACATTTAAAATATGTTTATCTAGGTAGTGATGATATTTTACCGGTTATTATATCTGCTAGTCTAACCCCTAAGCAAGAGTGTAGTTTGTTGAATATTTTGTCGTAGCATAAAAAAGCTCTCAGGTGGACTATGACAGACCTGAAGGGAATCAACCCTACCATATGCATGCACAAGATCCAGCTAGACAATTTTCATGGCAATTTTGTGGAACCCCAAAGAAGACTCAATCTAATAATGAAGAAAGTGGTGAAGGAAATAATCAAATGGCTAGATGCTGGGGGTGATATATCTCATATTCGAGAGCTCTTGGGTTAGCCGAGTTCAATGCGTGCCGAAGAAAGGTGGCAGACAATGGTTAAAAATGAGGATAATGAACTCTTAACGATGAGGACCGTTACGAGTTGGAGGATTTACATGGACTACCGAAAGCTTAACAAGGAGAAAAAGAATGACCATTACCCCCTCTCATTCATCGATCAAATGCTTGATCATTTGGTGGGCAAGGTATTTTATTGTTTCCTCGATGAATATTCTGGGTATAATTAGATTGTCATAGCACTAGAAGATCAGGAGAAGACCACCTTCGCCTACCCATATGGAACCTATGGCTTTAGGAAGATTTTGTTTAGACTATGTATTACCCTGACAACTTTTCAGAGGTGTATGATAGCAATATTTTATGACATGGTGGAGGACTTCATGGAAATTTTCATGGATGACATTTCTATCTCAAGTGATAACTTTAATAAATGCCTCAACAATTTATCTAAAGTACTGAAGCGATGGGAGGAGGCCAAACTTGTTTTTAGCTGGGAAAAGTATTACTTTATGGTGATAGAGGGAATTGTGTTGGGCCATAAAATTTCTCACTGCGACATCAAGGTTGACAAATGTAGAAGTGATTGAGAAGTTGCCTTCACCCATCACTTTGAAGGGCATAAGGAGTTTCCTGGGACATACGGGATTCTATAGGTGTTTCATCAAAGATTTTTAAGCCTATTTGTCTTTTGTTGCAGTAAAATCAACTTTTTTTTTCAACGACGACTTCTTCAAGAAGCTAAAAGAAAAACTTGTCATGTCACCAATTTTTATTCCACCCAACTAGGATGCACCTTTCGATATAATTTGCGATGCGAGTGACTACGCAGTAGGGTCGATGCTAGGGAAAAGAAAAGGTAGAATTTTCAATGTCATTTATTATACTAGTTGTACCCTAAATGATGCACAACTTAACTATAAAACAACTAAAAAAGAATTGCTTGTCGTTGTATTCACTTTCGATAAGTTAAGGGAATACTTTATAGGCACTAAGGTCATTGTGTACACCGATCACTGAACCATTAAATAATTAGTGAATAAAAAGGATGCCAAGCCTAGGCTTATTAATGGATACTCTTATTGCAAGAATTTGATTTAGTGGTGAAGGATAGGAAGGGTACCGAGAACCAAGTAGAAGATGACTTGTCTAGGCTAGAAAACAAAAAAATTACCATGAAATGAAAGAAATTTAGGAGGAATCCCCTGACGAGAAAACATTATTTGCCCGGACAACATTGTGGTATGCTGACATAGCTAATTTTCTTGTTAGTGGTATTATACTGCCAGATTTATCTTGTCAAGGTAGAAAAAAGTTCAGACATGATGTGCACCATTGCTATTGGTATGGACCATTCTTAATCAAGCAATTTGTTGATCAAATAATATAGAGTTGCGTCCCCGAAGAAGAACACAAGGAAATTCTATTTCATTGCCATACATCCCCGTGTGAAGGGCACTTTGGTGGGGTGAGGACTGCTGCAAAGGTCCTACAATCTGGTTTTTTTGGCCCACCTTCTTTAAAGATGTGCATGACTTTTATAAGTCATGTGATCATTCCCAACGCACTGGGAATATATCGAAAATAAATGAGATGCCATTAAAAAATATTTTGGAAGTTGAACTCTTCAATGTATGAGGATTGATTTTACAGGATCATATTCATCATCCTTTGGTGATATGTACATAATTTTGGCTATAGACTACGTGTCCAAATGGGTCAAGTTCGTTGCAACTCCTAGAAATGACTCCAAGGTCGTACTAAAATTCTTGCACAAAAATATTTTCACGTATTTTAGAGTACCAAGAACAATTATCAGTGATGAGTGTACCCACTTTGATAACAAATTAATTGCCAAAACGTTACAAAGATATGGGGTGCTTCACAAAATTGCCTTGGCATACCACCCCTAGACCAATGGACAGGCTGAAGTCTCCAACCACGAGATCAAGCAAATACTTGAGAAGGTTGTCAACACAAGAAGAAAAGATTGGTCACCAAAGGTAGATGAGGCACTGTGGGGCTTACCTCACAACTTTTAAGATGCCACTAGGAATGTCTCCATTCTAGCTAGTGTATGGAAAGGTATGTGACTTACCCGTGTAATTGGAACACAAGGCATTTTGGACCATCAAGAAACTTAACATGGATACACAACATGCTAGGGAAAGGACGTTGCTGGAACTAAATGAGATGGAAGAGTTTACAACTCAGGCTTATGAGAATGCCCGTCTCTACAAATAAATAAAAAAGTGGCATGACAAAAAAATTTATCCACGATGATTTTTTCCTGGACAACAAGTGCTCCTCTACAACTCCAGATTGAAGTTGTTCCCGGGCAAGCTGAAGTCAAGATGGTCAGAGCCTTTCCCAAAGCATTAAGTGCATAGTCACGGCGCAATAGAAATGAAGAATTTGGATGATGGAACAACATTTAAAGTAAATGGCCAAAGGTCAAAGGCCGATAACTGAGCACCTATCATGCGCGACAAGTCGACGCTACTACTACATGACACCTGAGAGTTTTCTCCTATGCTTTGAAAATGTTTGCCTCGGCAAAATATTTTTTCTTTATGTATAAAAAATAAATTAACTTCATTTAATTTGCACATGTTTTATTTACAATTATTAGCTTTATTTTATTCTCTAACTTTTTCCCTTAGTTTTCTCTTGACAGGTGGCAGCCTATAGAGAGGTCTCATGCTTTAGAAGATGAAAAACCCTAAACTATTGGGTTTGGGGGAATATTTTATTTTATTTTATCAAATCCCCTCATTTATTGCCCATTATCCTTACTTTTTACTTTTCATCTATTAACCCTAAAAAAATAACCCCACTTACCCACATTTTTCTCAAAAAACCACCATATTTTAATTTTCTATCTCTTTCCCATTTCTCTTCCTCTCTTATCTTTCATTTGTGTTTATTTTCTTTTTTCACTTTTCTTTTCCCTTCCTTGCTCCCCTAAAAAACCATAGCCATTGTTCCAAACTTTCAAACTTTCTTATTTTCATGTTCAACTCCTACTACAGCAATAACATGGTTCACTCAATACCCAACCCCAGTGCATCAACTTCCTCTACCAAGGCCAAGAACTTCCAGCGTTTTCATAATAAAGAGACCAATAAGAGTTTTCAAGTGTCATAGAGATGACAAGTTTACCTAGAGGATGGTTTTGTGTTTCTCGACGAGGATGAGGAGCCATTCAGACCTAAGGTAATGGATATTGTTAAGAAACACATATGAGATAAGTTTGTGAGACACCCAAAGGCTGTGGCACCAACAATGGTAAAAGATTTCTATGCTCACCTAGGAGACCAGTCCCAACAATCAGTGTACGTCTGAGGCACACTCATCCAGTTTTCCCTTCAGCTATAAACCACTACTTCAAGCTTGGGAAGGTTGAGGACATGAACAAGAAATTTTTCGTCGAGGAAAATTTTGAAAAATATGATGATGTACTCAAATACATGTGCTTTGGCTGGCCCAAATTTAAAGAAAATGCTCCGAACCGCAAGCGAGTTGATCGTCGTGACCTCAAGCTTGTTGCCAAGCTATGGAACCATTTTCTCAAGGGTAAGCTAATGTCCAAATCCCATAATTCAAATGTGTTGCTAAGGCGATTAATGCTCCTTCACTCTATAATATACGGACAATAAATCAACATCGGTTATTATCTTTGAGCAAATCCATGAATATACCAACAGACCTAGATGTAGTTTAATTTTCCCAAATTTAATTACTGCCCTGTGTAGGAAAAAGAAAGTCCCCAAGGAACCCGTTGAGGAATCTATCAAGCCAAAGGAGGGCATTAGAAAGAAGAAAGTACATGAGTTGATGAGCTTTGATGATGATGCCTCGGGTGAAGTGTTGGAGCTAGGTGTGAAATTAGTTACCGCGATAAGGATGGCTGTTGTGGTGACTTCCAATCAAGAAGCCAAGGAAAGTTTGGAGAATTTGGAGGGCCACATGGAGACCTTCTTTACATATGTCAAGGTGTGGGATGCTCAACTGAACGCATTCTTCAAAGAGTTGTTACCAATCTCCAATGAAGACCTGCAACCCTTCCCCAATGAGATTTTGCCCAAGCCAAAGCCAACAGTAGCACCAAAAGGTAAGAAAACATGTTTTACCTCAGTAAAAAATGTTTGGCTCATCTCTCTAATAAATGCCACCCTTCCCCATTTTCCTTGGAGCATACTCAGGTGTTTCAGCCAGAATTGTTTGATAAAGAAAATGCCCAACCTGAAGACATAGTTGAGCCTGTTACTAAAGACACTGCATTGAGGATAATGCATCGCTCAAGTTTAGGGGAGGTATTATGCTCGTACTTTTCATTTGCATTTATAAAGTTAGCAATAAAATTTTGTTATGGCATTAGTTAGTATTATGTTAGCTACTTGGAATAAGTTGATGACTCCTAATGATGATAAAATATTTTTTCCATGACTAGTACTTAATGTACATGAGTGATGAGGAGGATAGAACCGACCCCAGGACTTCATTCTTTGAACATAATTGTATGTTTTCTATGCTTGAGAACTTAAAAAAAATTTATGAAAGAAATTTTGCGTGCAGTGGCATAAAATATTGGTAATGAACTAAACTGCTAAATTAATGCATTAAAAGGCTAAGTTAAACTCCTTAGTATTGATGTTTGAATTGTGTTGTAAATAAATGCCTTGGCATAACAATAGAAGGACACTCCTCTATTTGTCAACATTGCCTAGAAACACCATGAATAAATGGCCCTTAGCACAAGAGTGAATGAAAGCAGTCACGGGATGACTTTTCTTGACTAGCTTGGGGATGGAAGGTATGCTTCTATCCATCTAGAGTGTGGGATGGTAGTTGTGATAGATTGACTCCCCTTGTGTAGTATAAAAAAACTGAAATGAAAATTTGAAAAAAATAAAAAAGTTTAAATGTTGAATAAACGATAGTAATAGTGTGCTTAATGAATAATTTTATGCCATGGAAAAACAAAAGAACTTACTTAGGAACTTTCTAATTTTGGTAAGCATAGACTAGATACAATCACACACACACGCTTGCAAAGGATCTTAGCCTAGAGAAAGGTGTTTGACTTCTAAATCAGTCTAGCATGTTGAAACCAAACTTTTTGCTGAGGGCTGAAATTTTAGACCGCTTAACTTTCATAATTATAACTTTATCATAGCATTTTTTTTCTGTTGTTCATTATCCATTGCTTGATAACAAGAAATAATTTAAGTTTGGGTTGTATGCTTTTTAAAAGTCATTGTCATCGCATTTTAGTTGCATTTAGGACATTTCATGCATGTGGTGGATAAGTTTTGCCTCAGCTAGTTTTTCTTTATAAAACTGATGTTGCTGATGAGAAGGGTTGTATGCTCTCCGTAATGATGCATGTGCTAGGAAATGACCAAGGAGAAAAATATTTATTGAGACAAATTTTGTGCGAGGGAAAAATGAATTGAGGACGATAACCGTGAGGAATTTTTCACCGCGACAAGTTTTATCTTGTAAGTTTGACGCAACAAGAAATAAAATAGCTGACGTGGTGTGGCTAGTTGTCTAATGCACCTCACTTGAACCTCTGCCTTACCAA